CTCTCTCTCTCTCTCTCTCTCTCTCTCTCTCTCTCTCTCACACACACACACACACACACACAGACGGACACAAAAAGAAAACACTATGGTCAAAGACCAGTAACATGTTCGATTCATGGTGCATAAATGCTGTTTGTTATATGCAGTGGGGATTTCGCAGGTGCGAAGACATATGTTGGGTGAAGACAAACAAATCCAACGCCACTCCTGGATTACGACATGATTCACATACTTTGTTTCAGCGTTCAAAGGTTCATAAATTATGTCAGCTCTTTCTTTCCCAAGGTGTAATTTGTTCATTACAACCATTAATTGACTTTTCTGCCGCTACTCATCGTGATATAGGAGCACTGCCTTATGGGCATAAAGGGAACTGTTCGTCGTAGTACTGATGGTCATATTATTCATGCAAACATCGACACTGATGTGATTATAGCTGAGGAACCTCCTTATGGTATTTGTCTATACCACTCTATATATGTAGCTTCTATTTCCTCTGCAAAACTAGATACTAGTCATGAAATATATAGTTGCAGAACTTACTGTATGCTTTTTTCTTATCAACCCTCCATTCATATGTTTGCCTTTTTGATGAAACTAAGCTGAGAGTACTAGCACTTAATGGGAGTTACAGCCTTTTCTTTTTGAGTAATTATATACTTTTACAAGCTGTGGACACTGGACACCAATACTTGACAGGGAAAATAATAAGAGTATTCTGTTTTTTCTCTTCTTCTCATCTTGCTAGCTCATAAGAAAAGGCTGTTCTTATTTGGGTGGGGCCTTCTCTCTAGCTTCATAACTCTATGGTGCTCTCTTCTATTTTCCCTTTTAGGATTTTATTGTCATTTGGTTTACTCAGAAAAATGTTCACCTTTGCCTGTGGTTTGGTGAAGGCTGAGGGATGGGGGGGAGTAGACAATGCTGCTCTCTTCTCAATACTCTTCACTGTAATTTTCTTTTTGGCTTTAAGGTGTACCTCCAGGCTTGCCTGTGGCTAAAGCTGAATAAGAGACCCGGCTTTTTACCAGTATTCTTATTAACAAGTTTTGAACAAAACCTTATTTATTTCCTGTGGTTCAAGTTAGTTGGTTGTTGATGGCTCTGTCACGTCAGTACTCAACAATATTTGCTTGTACTATAAAGTAAACTATTTCAGACACTACCCTATGTAAGCACGTAATTTTTGACCCGTCACGTTTTTGAGCTATTTTTAATGTTTAAAATATTTATTTAACTTAACTTTAATTTTTATGGAGTTTTAGCCAATTCTTACTTCAAATTACAATTTAAAAACACAAAAATATTTTCATCTTTAGTTTAAGGTCAATTAGTATATTTATGTTTATAGTATTTTAATTTTTATCATGACTTTGCCTATTTTCTCTATTTTTTTACTTTATTATAACACTTGAAAATACAAAAAAATATATAGAGTTTCATTTTTAATTTTTAGTTTTATTTTAACCAATTAGGGGTGATTTTAGGTTTTACAAGCATTTTATATTAATTTGGAACAAAGTTGGCTTTGTTAATGAATTTTAAGTTTTTCTTGTCCATAATTGAGCCCAAATTCGAATCTTCCACCTGAGCCCAATCCCTTGACTCAACAGCCCTTTTGGAGGAATTAATCCAAGCCATGCACTCCATCTCCATCTAATGGCCAAGGTCATTTTTCACAGCCATATAAAAACATCATCTTCCTAATTTCAAGAACCCTAGATGAGCCGAAACCCCCTCATTCTTACTATTCTAGAGCCGCACCCCCAGCTCTTTTCTCCACCATTAACTCGCCGTAAACACATACAAAAATCTGATTGTTCGGGCTACTTAGTTTGAGAAAGAAGAAAAAAAAAACCTCCTCTGCTTCTTGCTTCTGATTTCGGATATGGTTCCAAAAACATGAAGTTCGACTGAATTCGAGGTGTCGTTCGTGGTTCGGTTCGCGTTTCTGTTCGAAGTTTGATTGTCGTGTCGAGTTCCGTTCGCAACCGCCCCTTTGTATCTGTCCGTGTAACTGCTGGAATTTTTATTAATTGAAAGCAACTTCAGGTTCAATTCTTTCCTCTCTCATTCTATTCTAATGTCGATTTTAATATGGCTTGAGCCTAGACTATGGTTTTGCTAGATTTCTGATGGGAAATTGGTTTGAGTGAGTTCTCATTTCTCTGTTGATTGTCAGTAGATCTTAGAATGTGTTGCAATTTCCTTTAGACCTAATGTGCTTGATTTTGTGCTATTGACTGAAGTTTGGATTATTAGTTAAACTTTGCGATAAGATTCAAAATCTGGCATCCTACATTCTAAGTGAATAACTTCTCTTTTGTTTCATAAATATAAGAAATAGTCTTTAAGTTAACAAGTCTGGAGACGTAGAATCAATTATGTTGAACTTGGAATTTTTATTTTTAGTTAATATTTTAATGTTAATTGGTGTTAAGGTATAAAATTAGTTTAGTCATATATGTAATAGACGCAATTGAATAGAATTAATAACAGATCCGGTTTCATAAGATTAATTACCTTTTAGAATATGCAGTTAGTTTTAGATTTAGTGGGCTAACATCATGTTTATCCCACTTCTCTTTAATCATCGTTATTCGGGCTTGACATTATTTTGAGTCACTTGATTGGAATTGTAGTGCCAGTTGTCTGTAAGTTTTTGTGTGGAATATATTTGTGAGCAGACATTGGACATGAGATTATAGTTTATGGAATTTGTTTTGAAAAGGGTTGTGGGGATTGAGCTTGAATTGCTTTAAATATTTAGTGAACCGTAGGATTAGATTGAAGGATTCAGGCTTAAACGTAAATGACAATTTGGATTTGAAATGTTTTTATTACTTTTATTTGTTGCTTATCGCATGCTTAGGCCGACCACGCATGGGTAGGCAAACCTTAGGTCTTTTATTTCATTTTTATTTGAGGTGAGAGGTCGTTCCCTTTAGTTTATACTTGGTGAAATGCCCCGTGGATTTTGTATATATTTTTATCCGGGGTATGCCCCGTAGTGAATGTAATTGGAGGCTGTGACGGACATCGTGGAGTGGGCATAGTATAGACTTTTAGTATTTTTCTCTTATTTTATTTTCTTTTATTTAGGTGAGGACTACCTCGAGCCTCTTGTGTGTTTATTTTCTTTCGTGTGTTTTTGCCTCAGTTTAAGTATCCTTTAAAGCCAATTAGATCAAGTACGCAACCGTGACCTTCACGGGACTTGGGGAATGCCTAACACCTTCTCCCCGAGTCAAATGAACCCCTTACTCGGAATTTCTGGTGCAGTCAGTTTTAGAGTCAAATGTGTTTTGAAGGAAAAATATTATTTTTTTAAAAAAAGGGTGACCTGGCACACCGAAACGAAATGGCAGGTGGCAACTCTGAAAATCCTTTTGAACACAATTCTTTGTCACTTTTCAAAATTGAAAACCCTTTTTCATCTTTACAAAATCTTTTTATTTATTTTAAGAGGGTTTAGTGAGGTGAAAAATGGGGTGTGACACCCTGCAATACATAAAATTCATGCGATGTTGTATCGTGTGGCCTATGTTGCTCGGACTCTTCAAAAATGTTGTTGGGTGTGTGTCGGATCCTCCAAATTTAGTGCATTTTTGAAGGATCCGACACGGGTGCGGCAACACTTTTGGAGAGTCCGAGCAACATAGGTTGTGGCATCCTATCAGCATTTGTTGAGAAAAATTCTACAACTATTCGATTATGTGAATCATGAGACTTGTTTAGCTGCATTGTCTCTCTGTATTGGTTATGCCCAGTAACTGAGCTCATCTGAAATCACTGTTGGCCACCTCAATGCAGGATCAACTGCAAAACCTGAAGATATGTACCGTATTGTTGAGCATTTTGCACTTGGCCGTAGAAGGCTTGAGCTCTTTGGTGAAGACCATAATATTCGATCTGGCTGGTTGACTCTTGGGAAAGGATTATCTTCATCGAACTTTAATGCTGAGGTAAAAATGTCAGCTGGCCTGCTAATTTTATTTTGAGCTGATACTCGTCAATATCTATATTGGAGGATTTATTGCTCCTGGAATATCTCAAATTTGGAAAAAACAAAAAGCGAGAGAAAGGAAATATTATATTTGTTGGGTTGCATTTTCCCATTAAATTTACTTTCCGCTGTCTAAAAGGTAGCAAAACCTTGAACCCCTATCATTCATCAGATGCCCTTTTTCTTTTCTAATTTCCACTTACTGAGTTACTGTTACCTTCTGTCTATCATATGCTTCAAACCTTTGCTCTCTCCATCAGGAAGAGATTTTGGTCATCTTTTGGCTAATCACTTATGGTGACAATCATATATTTTAGCTCTGACTTGCTTCCTTCAGATTGTTTCAACTTAAGTTGCAGGCATTTGGATATTTTAGAGGGGGTTATGCTTTGTACCGAGTCGCTGCTACATTATCTGTTTCTTATTTATGCTCACTGTACAATTTGGAAATATTTCAGGCCTACGTAAGGAATTTTGCCGATAAGGATGGGAAAGTTTGGCAGGGTGGGGGAGGAAGAAATCCACCTCCAGAAGCACCACATCTTGTTGTTACAACTCCTGATATAGAGGTGCTTCGGCCCAAATCACCAATGAAGAATCAGCAGCAAATGCAGCAACAATCAGCGTCGATATCTCTGACTGCCAACTCCTCCAACAAGAGGGCAGCCGGGAACTCACCCCATGGCCATAACGCACAAAACATGAACCAAGAAGCCTCCAGCTCGAATCCGGGCCCTTGGGCTTCTCCAATGGATAGTTTTAAAGGGAGAGAGAGTGGCACACACATGATTCCAGATGATAGGGTTTTTGATATGTTTGGATACAACAATGCGGCCTTTGGACAGCCTAATGCCGAATACTTGGATTATGAATCTCACAGAGGAATGAATATTTTGTAGCGAGGAAACCATGTAATTGTATTATTATTTTTATATGATTACAATATAAATGGCATGAAGATGCCTTCATTTCTTCTCTTTAGCCAAATACATTGATCACAGAAACATGAAGAACAGGAGATCATTCACCGACGGTACATGAAGTCTTTAAGGGGTACTCGGGTAGCTAATCTTTCAAAATTTGGACGTGAAGAGTCGGCGGTTAGGGATGGCAAATGTGGCGGTGCGGGTGCGGGGCGGTACGGTTTAAGGCTATGCGGGGTGGTGCGGGTTTAAGACTTTGCGATGCAGGGTGGGTGCGGGGCGGTTTTAAGCCATTTTCTAAAAAATTGATGTTGCGGGTCTATGCGGGGTTAGACAAGTTTTTTTATATTCTTTTTTTAAAGTCATATCAATCGTTAATTATCTTTGGTATCTTTGTTATCTATCCCATGTCATTTTAAACTTCTTCATATTTATTGTCAAACAATACATTAACACCAATTAAAGAACTGATTGACGAAAACATTGAACAAGTTCTTCGATACATATTAAAGATCAGTTCTCAATTTAATTTATTTGAATCATTTAGCAGATATATCACATATATGCATCAATATCTTTATTTTAGCACCATATTTAGTAGACAACTTAATAAGAAATCCGGGTTTGATTTTCTTCTTTTCTTAGCAATTTTTGTGTACCTAGTTATGGCTGTCGATTTTTTCGTGTAAATTTCACTTTTTTAGTAATTATCTTGAATAGCATAAAGAAAAAATATAAGCTAATCCAAATAGAAGAAATGAATCTATCAAAGAATGACCCACCCAATAAATGGAACGACCATTCAATAGAAATAAAAAATAAAATCAAATAAATATCTATCTGCATCAGAAACTCGTACACAGAAAACAGATGAATTGAACTTCAAACAAATAATTTTATAAATTTCACAATTAAGTATCATATATTTAAAAGAAAACAATAAAAAAATAGTTACATGGTGCGGGGCGGTGCGGGGCGGTGCAGGTTGAAAATAGTAAATTATGCTATATGAGGCGGGGCGGGTTGAAGTCTTCGCGGATTTGCCCCGCAACCGCACCACACCACACTGTTTGCCATCCCTATCGGTGATCATGTGATGCTTCAAGTTCTAGTGACATATAGATTAGAAATTATGTTATAATTGTCTCATCTTAGATCCAGATATTGATGCAGGTTTAACCAAAAAGAAGGAAAAAGGTAACATAAAAATTACGATAATGTTATGAATACACTAAGTTGTGGATATTTATTCACTATTCCTACGACTTTTTAAACAAGCTTGCAATCAAACATGTAGCTTGCAACTAACTCATGAAAGTAGCTTGCAAGTAGCTTATGCAGGTAGCTCATGCGAAGCCGTGCAACAGCTCTCTGAAGAGGCTTGCAATTAAGCAAGTAGCTCATGCAATCAGCTTAAAAGCTGCTCTGGAAAGCCTTGCAGTAACTTCCTGTAGAGCAACAACTTCTTGAAGAGGCTTGCAATGGAAAGCCTTGCAGCAACTTCCTGAAGAGCAGCAACTTCCTGAAGAGGCTTGCAATCAAGCAGTAGCTTATGCAGGCAACTTATAAGTTGTTCCTTGAAAAGCCTTGCATCAACTTCATTTCTTCTATAAATAGGGAGCTAAATTAATTTATTTTGTACATTCAAAAAAAATATCTCTCTCTCCAGATTCTTTGGTCGTATCCCTTTTCTTGTATTTTTATTACTTCATAATAAGTACTAAGAAATAATAGTAATAAGATAGTGAATTGGATGGTGGCAAACTTGACAACGAGAAATTAGTGAGACTAGAGTATGGTGAAGCATATCTTAGTAGCAATCATAGATGAGACTTAGACCCCCTAATGGAAAGTACTTTTAAATTTTTGTCAAAAGTAGATGGATAAATTTCAATTTTATTTAACGTGACTTGACATATGATATTCACAATTTCACCCGAAGTTTCATAAATGACAAGAACAAATATGAGACAATTTGCAGATGACAAGGTATGAGTGGACCCAAAATATAATGGAGGAGTAATATTGAGCAATTTCGGATAATATAGTTGACAACTCGAACCTTTTCCTTATATTTATTTGTAGCAAAATGGATGAAAACACTGATGAGAATGACCAAGCGTAAAAATTGCATGGGGTGCCCTATTTGGTCACTCCCTTTTAACTTATACCCGTTTTGTTTTTCTGTTTGTATCCGTACCCATTTTTTGTGTTGTTAAAAGCGTTTTAAACAGACGATTTTACCCTTCAGGACTATTGAAAAAACTGTAGACTGCATGACAACACTTCAGCATGTTTTGGCATGAAGTTTTAGCAAATGAACTAATTAACTTAAGCATGTTTAGTCTGAAGTTTTAGCAAAT